TGCATTTCTCTATTCGTATAAATCACAATAATTCACTCGAATACACCACATTTTACTGAAAATGTAAGTTAAATACATTTAAAAACACTTAAGAGAAAAACACCGTTCGTGAAAATAACAAATCGACAAAAACGCCCTATAGACAATGATCAATATAAATTTAAGTATTTTAATATGTTACAATACAGTATTAATACGACGTAAAAATAAAAGTTTATTATTTGTATGTTGGCAGTCCTTGTTTATTTCATAAAAATTTTGACAGATGCAAGCATTTCAAAAATTCCCTACATCTTTCTTCGTTCTGGAAGCTTTCATTTGATTTTCGGAATACACAAAGAGCATAAGATGCTCTACCTTCTACTATCAAAATTACCTGCAAAAAATTATACCAAGTGTCCCATTTTTTATGTTACATTTTGAGAACTTAAAACCGACAAAACTTTTTAAATTCAAAAGGAAAGGAAAATGGTACAAAAACCATATAGAAAATCAAATTCTATTTTCATCGATATAGGCATTATGGGGGTTACAGTTTCAATTTTCTCAGCTATTTGAGGTTTTCTTCCATTCTCGAGAATATTACATTAAAAATATGATCAAGTGAGCCTTTAAAGATAAATATTGGTGTTGTCATTCGGATTCTAGTTTACTAGGTCTAAATAAAAACTCTGTACAGTACAGAGATATTCACGTATTAATCTAACTCCCTCATTTTCTTTTGCCTTTCTTTCCACGAAAAATGGTTGAATGGTGGTCTTCAGCTGTAAGAAATGCGATGATAATTATTATTAACGGCTTATAAATCCGGACGGCAATTTAATCGTAATAGGTTAATACTTATTCATGCACACAGCTAGCCGCAGACCCCAGGGACCGACATCTTAGATTGCCAGTAACTCTAAAATGCATAACTAAGGCGGGCACGATATCATTAGCCGCATTGTAACTGCACGGCCGTCCGACAGAGGGCGCTAAGTCGCGTACCGACCCGGGACCGCAGGACTTAACTAGGCTTGGGATGTGGGGACCCGATTGTTCCAGAGTAGATGTAATAATGTGGCCCCATGATGCCAGCCTCCATGTTGGCTGTCTCTTCAGGTAAATTCTTGATTTAGAGCCTCATAACGCTGACGCGACGTTTAGATTGCGGCGACGTTTTAAGTGCCGGACTAATGCCCCGGAACGAGGCACAGCCGGAGTAAATTCTCTTGTTTTATCAGTCATTTCTGACGACGTGAAGTGGGTCAATCTCGATGAAATATTGGACGAAAATCCGTTTCTAAATGTGGAAATGATTGTCCCAGAGACCTCACAGACTAGTCGCATAAAATTTGCATCGATAAGTTTAATAAAACATTTTGTATGTTTGCCAAGAGACATAAGTGGCGATTTCTGTGATTTCATGGAGCGGAAATTCATGGATTATTAAAAATCATTTCGAGAATACTGAGAAGTCTCTAGTTATTTCGTCGAAGATAATGGAATTTCTATTCGATTAGGCGTTACAGAATGTGGCTGAATATTATTATGTTGGCTTGTGTCCATGTAAATCCCCAAATATGTGTTTTAGGAATTTGTTAGTTACCTGGAAATTTCATATGGAACACAAGTACTTTTCTCACACAAATGACATTAATTTTGCACGAAGCAAGAGCTGTCACATATCGTTTGACACAATTTTTCATTTGTCTATTTTCATAGGACATCGTTATGGAAACAATACTCTTTATAACTACTCAGATATTTAGAATTAATAAAAAAATTAAACATTGCAGTTATCAAAAAAATTCAAAACATAGCAAGTACTTTTTTAAATACCAGCTAGTTTTACAATTTAATTTTTTCTTGGACTTGAAAATATTTTAAATCAATTTCTTTTGGCCGTATTTGTTAATAGATTTTTACCTATATACAGTCGCTCCGTACTGTTAATGGATCACCCTGTATATTAAATTGTAACAGTCTTTTTGTTGACAAATTATAATTAACAGAAGTAATACAAATTTTAGATTTGGGTATTATTTTCAACAGAAAGATGATCTTCCATCGTCATATTACATTTCTGCAAAAGCTAAAAAAAAAGTTTGGCTTTTATGCAAAAGCTAGGTTGGTTTTAAAAATTCAACTACATTTCGCATTACTCGAAGTGGTAACAATAAGTAATTAACGATAAGTGATAAACATTAAACGATAAACAATAAACCATAGACATTAGACAATAAACAATAAGCAATAAACAACAAAAAGTAATCTTATTAAAATTATTGTTATAAAAATTATAAAATCCTTAATCGTCCACATCATTATCGATTTTAACAAATATCAGATTATTGGGGTCTAAATTAAAGTGTTTTCTTATATATCTTATTACTTTGCATACATATCCAAATTTGATATAGAATTAGCTAAATTAAGTTTAATCGTTTCCAAAATATTGATTTAATAACTAGTGCTATGATTTGTTACAAATTACATCTAATTGCCACCGGAATTGTAACGCACCGAGGTGTAATTGTAACAGTAAAATGTAAATTGATCTAATATTATATTATATTTTCATTAACAAAATATCACAGGTTTTAAAGAAATAATAGAATTTAGAAGTAAATAAATAATAACTAGTATCGGTTGTTAGAAAATCATTTTGGAGCCTAAAGTAATTGTAGTATTTTGTTGTATATCTTGTTATAATGCATATATCCTTACTAAATTTAAATTTAATACTAAATTAGGTAAATGAGGATAACTCCGAAAAAAAAATTAATTCAAAAAAGTAAAAAACAAAAAATCTTATTTTTTGCTTTTTTTTAAATTGTTTATTAACGATTTTTTGCACAAAATTTTTCTTTAAAATTTTTTAAATAAGCCATTTCGGTGGAAAATTTTTTTCTATGAACTAGACCGAAATTTTGCTTGGTTTTCGTGCTATATTTAAAAAACTGCAAAAGTGCATTTTCATCTCTATCTTCAATTTCAATAATCTAATTTAATAGCACCCCACGGTTTTTTCATTTTTAATGACCCTTCGAACAAGTCATGTGATGAAAATTCTTGAACGTCTTATTTCCTTCCTTTTTGCAAAAAAAAATGAGAATTAAAACGTAGGTATAAGGGTAAACGCGACGAAAATCTAAAAATTGGCTAATTGTAAGTTGGAGCGGTCAATTTTCATCCAAAAATACTTTATAATCTCTTATTTTGAAGGAAATTTTATCTACTTTTTTTCTATAAAGCAATGTCTATACCTAACTTTACTCAAAAAAAAACTAGAGGCAAAAAATAAAAAAAAATCAAAAAATCAAATTTTTTGCTTTTTTCAAATTGCTTATTAACAATTTTTTGCATACAATTTTCCTTTTAAATTTTTTAAATGGGAAATTCAATTCTCTAAATAATTTTTCCTATGAACTATAGCGAAATTTTGCTTCGTTTTCGAGCTACTATTAAAAAACTGAAATAGGTGCATTTACACCCTTATCTCCAATTTCCACCCTCTAATTTAATAGCACTTCGCGTTTTTTTTCATCTAAAATGACCCTTTGAACGATTCATGCAATAAAATAAGCGTCATAGTTCGTTTCAACCTTGTTTTTTTTGGATATAATCAATAGCCTATTAGTAGAACATTCAAAAATAGTACAGAACCTAATAGATTAAATCTAGAAATATTATTAAAAGTTTGTCCTGAAAGTTAGTGCCCACAGTTTTTAGGAATATAAAAGGTAATTAGAATTGCAAATTAATGCAAATAAAATAGTAATTATATTTCCCACATGAAGGGTGTTNAGTAATTGTAGTATTTTGTTGTATATCTTGTTATAATGCATATATCCTTACTAAATTTAAATTTAATACTAAATTAGGTAAATGAGGATAACTCCAAAAAAAAATCAATTCAAAAAAGTAAAAAACAAAAAATCTTATTTTTTGCTTTTTTTTTTAAATTGTTTATTAACGATTTTTTGCATAAAATTTTCCTTTTAAATTTTGTGTCTATACCTAACTTTACTCAAAAAAAACTAGAGGCAAAAAAGTAAAAAAAAAAATCAAAAAATCGAATTTTTTGCTTTTTTCAAATTGCTTATTAACGATTTTTTGCATAAAATTTTCCTTTTAAATTTTTTAAATGGGAAATTCAATTCTCTAAATAATTTTTCCTATGAACTATAGCGAAATTTTGCTTCGGTTTCGAGCTACTATTAAAAAACTGAAAGAGGTGCATTTTCACCCTTATCTCCAATTTCCACCCTCTAATTTAATAGCACTCCGCGGTTTTTTTCATCTAAAATGACCCTTTGAACGATTCATGCAATAAAATAAACGTCATAGTTCTTTTTAACCTTGTTTTTTGGAATATAATCAATAGCCTATAAGTAGAATATTCAAAAATAGTACAGAACCTAATAGATTAAATCTAGAAATATTATTAAAAGTTTGTCCTGAAAGTTAGTGCCCGCAGTTTTTAGGAATATAAAAGGTAATTAGAATTGCAAATTAATGCAAATAAAATAGTAATTATATTTCCCACATGAAGGGTGTTAAGTACCTTCGACTAATTTTTCTCCCGCTCCATATTGATTACATTTTTTATGAATAGAACTAATTTATTATCGACACCAATAGACATGTTACAATTGACATCATTAGACGTCATCTTGGTTTATTTAATTTACTTATAAGAAAAGAAGCCGGATTAAAACAAATGAAATTCGTGTATAATTATAGCATGTATTATGTAGGGGAAGTCGGGGGAATGTTGGCCTCCTAAGCATTTTTGACTCCATAATTTGTAGTTTTCGACTAATCGTCATAAAATATTAACAACGGAAAGACAAAAATGTTCTTTTCAATATTTTATTTTCAAATTAAAAAAAAAACAACAAAAACTCGAACAATATTATTTTTTTAAACCCCTGGTGGCCGTTATTACCCCATCGTGTTGGGGTAATGGTGACCATATGTCACCATTACCCCCCAAGTAGTAACTTTGACTTAGTTCAAGCACAATAGTCGCAAATAAAAATTTTGTTCTCTACATTAGCACAAGCTTTGTGTGCCCAATTCCCGCACATGACACATCTCAGCCATATTTCTCTATTCTTCCCGAATTCACCACAAAGAAGACATAAGTCGTCACCTATCACATTCTGATCCTCATTTTCGTCATCATTTGATTCTTCATCGTCGTCAGAACTGGAATCCTTATATCTTCTAGTCCCAACATTTCTTGGCAATCTTGCTCTCTTCATTTCACCACTATCCTCTTCGTCATCATCGTCCAGAAAAATTCTTTTCTTGACCTCCTTTGCTCCTTTCCTGGTTGTCTTCTTTGCTAGCTTCTTATTCGCTTTTTCTATTAAAACATCTTTGTTTGGTGTGGCTGTTATGATTTGAGACGTTTGTTTTGTTTTCCGTTTAATTGACTGCCGTCGAGGTTGTGATGGCCCTGGTAAAGGCGAATTTTTTTCGAACGATATTTCCATATTATTGTTTGATTCCTTAGTCACCTCCACCACTGGGAATTGATCATCCAGAGTTGGTTGGGGTGTTGGAGTTGAGTGGATTCTTGAAGTTAATTCGTTTTCTGGCGGTAGGTCACGGTGCTGTGTTTCGGTATATTGCTGGGGCTCATCAAAGGGGTTATGTAGGTCGGCTGCTGCAAAGTCTTCCTCGATGAAAATATCAGGATTATATGGCCAAATGCCGGTTACTTGAAACCCTTTTGCAGCTTTTTCCAAAGTAGCTACCCTCATATAGGCATTATTAAATAGTTCTGCGACTTCGAATGGAGTTATCTTCTCATGTGGATGTGATTTCAAATATTTACTACATTCTGTGTTGTAAGCAGTTTTAAGGGGGCCATAAAATGTGACGTCTAGTGGTTGGAGTCGGTGGGAAGTATGTGGAGGTATTGTCAACAAAATGATCCCATTGGCTTTACAAAATTCATAAGCTTCAAGAGTGCAGTGAGTACTGTGGTTGTCCATGATGAGAAGAACCGGATCTTCCAAGCTTGGTTTGACAACCTTCTTGAAATGTCTCAAATATTGTATGAAAATCTCCTCCGTCATCCAACCTCTATCAGTGCAACAATACTCGGCCCCAGGTGGACCTCCTTTCTTGAGGAGCAAGTTCATTCGCTTTCTCGCAAAGATGAATAGAGGAGGAACATAGAACCCCGAAGCACTGAATGCACAAACCACTGTTGTGTTTTTACCTCTTTCCCAACTAGTAACGAAACCGACTTGCTTCAGTCCTTTCTCAGCCAGAATCTTGCCTGGTTTTTGTACCGTTGTAATACCCGTCTCATCTTGTTCTCAACTTGTTCCAAATTCTTAAAAAACAAATACACCTGCTCTTTATTAAATGCCGTAACTCTATTCACACTTGTCGCCTCAGGTTTTCTCAGCGAAACAGTCGGATGTCGCTTCAAAAAACCGGAGAGCCAATCGTCTCCTGCACTTTTTTTTTCGTTACTGAAAGGACATTTTATATTATTTTCCTGTGCATAGTCTGGAACTCCGTAGAATAGTTTAGATAACCTGATGACATGTGCTGCTAGCTGTTTTTCTTCAACATTGGAGAACATCGACAAACGTCCTAGTGATGGATCCTTGTAATTATTGTTTTTTATCCTTGCTTGTATCATGCTTCTTGGAATTTCGAAAGCTGTGGATACCTCTCGAACAGATCGACCACTCCTCACAGCAGCTATTGCTGCCATTAGTTTGTCCGAGTTCCAAGAGGCCTTTGTAGTCGTTCTTTCACGATGTCTAGGCATCTAAAAAAGTAATGACTTAGAATCATGGGGTAATGGTGGCCGGCCACCATTACCCCTGTATGTCTGGCCATCTTAATCCCAAAATGTATGATTTTCAATATATAATGCCAAACGAAAAACATTAATCGCAAAAAGTCTCACCTTTAGAAATCTTCAAGGTAACAGATAAACACAATTTTTGTTGCTGTTTTGGAAACTGCGCAGCTTGAGTGACATACAAGTTTTACAATCGCCGAACTCACGGTTGCTAATAAAGTCAATGTCTGTTTTAGTTGAACACCTGACCAACGCCTTAAAGTCGTCATTGCTCGCTGTAACTGCGTCAGTCAGTTGAACTACCAATTTATAGATGGCGGCACTATGTAAAATTGATTTAAAAATGCATGGTTGTGAGATAATAGGTGGCTATCATTACCCCGGTGGCCCCCATTCCCCCGACTTCCCCTATGTATTATTTTAGATATATGCTTAATAACAATTAACGATAGTCAATAGACAACTAATAATTTTTAACATAACTCAGCTGATGTACCATTAACATATTTGTTACATGTGACACACTTCACAACAAGCTTCTCTATACGAATCTTACTCTTTTTTTAACTGATTTATTTTTAATAATTGACAAAGGTCAGTATTATATTAATGTCGTCAAAATGTATCACTATAGAAATATTACTGTATTTAATTTTAACCCGATCATTGAGATTGTATTTTGAATTTAAGTTTATAAGTTTACAAGTCTGACCCACCCTTTCCGTTTATCTTTCTACGAAATAACTAGCTCTATTTTACTTTAACATCGGACTTTCGTAAATTTCCTATTTCTCAGGAGATTAAGATTAGTACGAAGTCTTTATTGTTATTAGCTTTCCGGCGCGGTCGAACTAATTTTGAAACAGGCCAACTGGTCGGCAAATATTTACATTTAATTTTTGCGGCGCCGGATGATTAAAAATGATGAAAATGTGTAAAAGCAATTTGCGCTACCTACTGATACACCTAATAAATGGTTTATAATTTTTTTAGGAGTGTATCCCCGAAGTGAAACAAACAAAGTTTTCACCAGTGCGGCTCAACATTTTAACACTTACAAAACAACCTCTATGTTAAGTTTGTAATACATTTTCTCGCGAAACTTTCCATCAGATTGAATAAATCCATTTGCGCTCATAATAAAGCATTATGTAACTTTAAATCACAATACTACCAACACAAATAGGACCTAATAAGTTCAAATTTAAACCCATTTGCTTCACGTTTGCATTGCACATATAATAGAGCGTCTGGAATATGACAGTGACAAATAGTCGGAAGTACTACGAAAAAGTTACAAAGAAAAATTAATTTCAGTTCGGATAGCACCTTTTGTCGATGAATTCTAAAGCAATGAGCGATATAATAAATGTTTTATGCTTCCCGAATTGCAGACGGAGTTATGTAAGTTCGTAAGAGTGCTTTTCATTAACATGCTCTTTCACAAGGTTGATATATTGAGCTGGTAATTGGAAAATATAATAAGTCTGTGCATCGCAGATAATTTAACGTTAATTTGTGTTGTGGTTAGACAGATCAATTTATTGACAGGAAATAAGTTTTGATAAAAGGAGACGATTGACACTTGAAAAACTAATGTAAACACTATCGCAAGAACGTTAATACTAAAATCGGATTTCAGTATTGCGCACAACGCGAATGACGCTAGAGACTACAATAGTCCAGCGATGTAAAGGTTGAAAATACTACAACTTCAGTAATTTTCCATGATTTATCTATTCCCAATTTTTTTTTAATTGCCCTGTATATAGCAACATGTACACGAATATTGTGGTCCTCTCACAGAAGGAATGGGGTTTCAGTCTTAAGTCTGTAAAGCTATAAATTTCTTGCACCGTCGATGACAGCCGTCGCTAGTCTTATTTATCGCCGTGAGAAATACTGTTTCCTCAGCACAGCTATTTAATAAAGTCGGACAGCAACTAGTGGCAGTTGAATACGGCGATTAAAAAGTTGCCTTTAATACTACGTGACTTCGTTCTTAATTTAATACAATAAGTCCCTCAGCATCCGGTAGGTTGTTTGTCTCCTTTCCTCCTTGTCTGAATAAGTTTCATTAACTAAACGGTTCCGGGCAAGGAGAAGTTGTACGGCGGAACTTCGGACCGGGAATAATTTATAGATAAACGAGCGGAGCGCTAATTAAAATGGTTTTTAATTACGCCGCTAAGATATTATACCTGCTGGTAAGTTTGTTTTCCTCAACATAAAGCGGAGCTCAGGTAAAGTTAAACGGCGAAGAAAAATTGCACTGCCTTTAACATATCTATTACTTTTAAAGGTACACTTAATTAAAAAAATGTGTATCTCTATGTTCCGATGCTGTCCGTGGAATATTAAAGTATTAAAGTCTTTTCGAAGTCAATTGAACATGTTTGAAAACGCCTAGCAATAAAATTTAATGAGTTGCACAGGCGCCCCCACAAAAGTTTTCTGATAAAGGTAAAAAATAATAATAATTTGTATA